GAACCGCTCATGAATGACAAGGTTCCTCTTTCCTTTTGGGATAATGCCACCGTTTTCTTTTCTTGTTATTGCTTCTGCTCAATATACTACGAGCTTCTTCAGTAAAGGACGGTCTCACCCTTGTTGGTTCCATTTTTGTACGGGACTGCAAAAAGAAACCTCTGCCAATCTCAGCCCACGGACGTATCCCACCCACCATCATGCTGAGATGCAAAGCTTGCTCCTCTCTCCCCTGCCCCAGCTCACCCTAGAAGAAGTTGTTTGGTCACCGCTTTCTATTGTATCTACCTGACCCTTCATCCCTCTGTTCCCTCATGCCACAGAGGCAGCACCATTACCATTAGTCCGTGAGAAGCCCATTAGTGCAACAGGAGGGGGTTGTCTTGCCCAGGTTGCCTGGACCAGTCTGAGACACGAGGAAGACGTCCTTGGGCTTCGCAGCACGTCATTGCTTTCTTGAGTATTCCCAGCACTGCTGCCTCAAAAAGCCAAAGAGGAGAGAAAAGCCAGTGTGGGGGTGTGAGCGTGGGATGGGGGGAGCAGTGGGGGGGCCGCTCTGTAGTGCCAAGAATAGGACTGTTAGGACACTCCTTTCTGTGCCTTACAGTTTGCGCCACAGGGAAAGGCATTGTCCAGATGCATTTGTTTTATATATACTGTATATATTTATATATATAAGATATACATGCAAGCTTGGTTGGTGTTTTTTATTAAACAAAATAAAATCCATTGAAAATCTTTGGGATGTTTGTGCTGCATCCAAGTTCCTGGAGCCATGCATTGAAATTCCAGCCGTAGCCTCTTTCACCCTTGTCAGAGCTCTTCCCAGTAGCCTCAGGCAGCACCTGAAACAGCCAGCTCATGTCTTCCTTGAGAAACCCCAAAGAACGGGTGCTGGAAGGAGCTATGCTCCTTGGCAGACTTTCCACGTGGATGTTTGCAACTTTATAGAGTTAAGATGAGGATCTCCTCTCCAATCAGATAGGTTCTTGTGATTCTTGGGAACACACAAGGATATCCCCATGGAAAGTCTCCACCAGCCCCTCTGAGGACAGGTAATGTCTCAGCAGGGAGCATCCCCTACAAAGACCTTATTTTCCCCCAGTTCCCATAACAATGCCAAATGAGACTTGGGAAGAGCTCATTAGGACCAAATTTCCTTTTTTCTGTGAAGAGTAGAGGAGATGCAATCCAAAAGGGGTTTCTTCCATGCAAGCATCCTGAGAAAATTAGGATCTTTCATGCTGTTGGTAATGCCTGCCTCTTCCAAATTCAGAGAGAGGAGGGGGCTTATTTATGGCAAATAGTGCTTGTGCAGGACACCTGCCCAAACTGAGTGGGAATTTGCCATGAAATAGTCCCACTGAAGGTTGCAGAGCTACTCCATGGTCCAGGCCAGACTGTAAGGGAAGGAGAATGATGCTCAGTCATGTGGGATACTTCTGGTAGAGTGGTTTAGGTCTCTACCTTGGTGTTTGCTGCAGACACACTGGGCATATGTAGATGTCTGACAGTGGGCTTTGGTAGTCTAAAACAGCATGTTGCAGGAAATGAGAAATAAATCTCCTTAAAGTGAAGGTGAAAATTAAACTGGCAGAGGATGTATGGAAATTGAGCCAAAGTATTCAAGCTAACACTGGGGGGAAAAAAAAAAAAAAAAAAAAAAATAGATCCAAACTGGTATAAGTTGTGTTTGCGAGTGTGTGTTGCTGCTAAAATGTTTTGGGTTTGCTTTTTTTTTCTTCCCTATATGGATATTTTTGAGGGAAAAAAAAAAATCTAACTGTGATCAGGACAAAATGCTAAAAATTGCAGATTACACTTGCAGACAGCATACTAGCAGGGGAAGTGAGGCTGGACAAGTGCTGTGCTTTAAGAAATCCATAATGTTCTGTTTGATCCTATTTTTTTGGCTTTTCCTCCTGTAGTCTGGAGAAGCTAATGTTCTAAACCAAAATATTTCTATCAATCATGAGCAGTGCAGTTCCAGCTCCTAGAGCCAAGTGATCGTGTTGGAAATCCCAGCCTTCTCTTAGAAATTCATTCTTGGTTCCTATGCCTACACAAACAGAGAAACTGTTGAAGAACATACCATGCACGATCAGAAAGAGAAAGGACCCAGTGCAATGTAACATTACGCAGAAGTTGAACCCGTCATTGAGTGCCTTAGTCTGGTGCTCTCCTCTCTCCTTGCTTTGCTGGCCTCCTCCGTGATCCACCAACATCCCAGCAGCCACAGCAGCCTGAACAAACTCCCCTGTGGTGACTTGAGGCTGCCCCCATGTCCACCCTGCAGGTTCTGGCTGTTTCCTTTAGCATCTTGGTGACCTTGTGGCTTTCCCCTAATCTTTGCTCACCTTTTCCGCAGCAGAAAAAATTCACCTTGAGCAGCTTTCTTTGGTGCCTGCAAACAGGCACCCATTTCTGAAGTTAGCAAGGAGATCATTCAGAGCACGAAGCTCCTGGTACCTCTTATCCATTTGTGGATTGAGGTATCCATCCCTATCCCCATGCTGTGATGTTTACGTGAAGGGACTCACATAAAATGCCTGTGCAAACCCTTGTTCACCCTCCTCGTTTTGTTTTTGTGAGGAGTTGAGTTGACTTGCACAGGGCTGTTCCTGAAGGAAGGTTGTGTAAACTTCCAGTTTTAGTTGGGTCCTGCCTTGGGTCGGGCTGCTTGGTTGGGGATGCTGTGACTGGGCTCCTGTCAGTCCAAATGAGACTTTTACATCACCTTTGAGGTGGGCAACATCAAGATGTGAAGCAAAGCACCCATGGCAATATTGCTTTGTTTGTATGGATTTGCCAAACACAGTCCAGCTGGATGAGCAAATGGGTTTTGTTATTTGTTTCTTAATTGCTGATGACCTCAGCCAACAGTGAGTGTCTATTTGTCTATCAAGCCAAAGCAAAATTTTATGATTCTGTATGTTTAATCTGTATCTTATTGAACCATGTAAATATATATGCAAATTGTGGGCCTTATCCTGAAAGCATGGAGTTCTCCAGGGTTTTAGTAGACTTTTGGTCGCAGGTCTGGGAAGTTGCCATGGTTACCCCAGTTATCACTGAGTTTGGGTACCATTCAGGGGAGAAAATGGTCTTGAGGCACATCCCTCTCACCTGCTCTGTATGAACACTGTTTTCTCAGCCCCCGCTCCCTCCCCTTGCTCGACAGAAATAGGTGGCTGGTTCCCTCTAGGTGGGCTTTTTGAGCATGACAGGGATGGATGATTGATGAGGCTGGTGGAGCTCAACATGTGGCAGGAGGGAAGGATTCTCAGATGGAAGCATGGAAGAGTGTCCTGTAAATTATCTCTTGCTTTGTGATGTAAAATGTACAGTGTTTGCACTAGAATAGAAATTATCATTTTCAATAAAAGGGGGAAAAGACTCCCCAGTCCTTTCTATAAACTGCCACATGTGTCTCGTGTTGCTGCCCTGAGGTGTCCTACAGTGTTCTCTGGGGCTGGGAATACCCCAGAGCCTTGGGGGCACAGGGAGACTGGGGCCAGTGGAGCAGGGCTCAGGGCTGCCTGCCCAGCAGGCTTAGGCTGGGGACATCACACAGCTGTTCAGGGGACTGCAGAGACCCCAGCAGAGATGGGGACCTCTCTGCAGCATGCACTGTGCAGGCCAGCCAGTGAGCCAGGTGGAGATGGACACTGTCCAGGCCCCTGCCTGAACCACACATTCTTTCTGTCAGCACAGGCAGCCGCAAATGAGTTCAGTGGGAACATAAGGCAGGAAGCACCCACAAAGACTTCTCTGAAAAGAGGTGGCTTTCAGGAAGAGGCAAGACACACCCATGGCTTTGCCCCCAGCTCACTACACACCACCAGGCTGGCAAGACACCAGTGTGGGGCTGAAAGTGGGTCAGGAGGGGGTCTCACTTCAGAGAAGAACTGGACATCCTTACATGGGTACTGGGGGTGGTGACCAGTAGGGAGACATGGGAGGGGGGAAGGCCACAGATCAGGAGAAGACAAGGGTTGAGTCCCACCACCTGGGCAGGGAGCAAAAAGAGATGGGCTCAGGAGTGAAAATACTCCCCTGGAAAGCAAGGGAGGTGGCCAGAAGGAATTTAGAGGCTAAGGAGTGCTAATTAGTGTAGGCTGTTGAAGAAGGGGTGGGGCCAGTGCTGAGGAAGAGCCTCTGCCAGGGAAAGACACCAAGCTGGACTGGAGCTGGTGAGTTCCACATCAGAGAGCAAGTCTCTGCTGGTGAGGGGAAAGATGCTGGGAGTCTAGGGGGTTTCTCTGATTTCCCTTCTTGGTCTCTAAGTGATTCGTTCAGATTTGAGCCAAGTATTGTGAATCTAGAGTGTGTTTGAGTTGGTCTCCTATTTGCCTGCTGATCTGGCTTTTGATTCTCACTGGGCAGCGTGTACTGGGGTTGTTAACCAGGCTGAGTGCAAGGGCCAGTTAAATTTCAGCAGCCCAGCCCGCAGAGAGACCCTGGTAAGGAGAGATGGGTATCTCTGCAAAACCCTCAGCAGTCAGACAAGCTTGCATGCCTTGCAAAGCTGATTATTCACCCCTCTGAATCAGAAATAATAATATCAGCCTCTTACTATTTCTTGGTTGCCAAAAGAAGTAGACTTGTAAATAGCATAGCTTCCAAGTTGGTTTTGAAACTGGAGTGGTTTGGACTGAGTTGAAACAAGACTCAGATGTCCATCCGGGCCTGCAGCTGGCTCATCTGAGCTCCCTTTGGGCAGGTGTCCATCTCCCCATCAGGCTTCTGTGGCTGTGGCTTCTCGCCTGGTGGCTGCCAGGCACCAATGCACCAGAAATTACCAGAGTCCCAGTTTGGCCAGGGTTTCCCAGCAGGACTAAGAAAAGCTATGACAAAAGCACACTGCTTCCACAGGTATCTCCTGAACTTCTGACCATAC